TAGGGGAGGACAGGAGAGTAAACATCTAGCTGCAGGACCCAAAGAAATACCAATATTCCAGCCACTGCCTGGTCCTTCACGATTTCTAAAACAGCAAAGTCTCACTTTGCAACACAATCCACAAAAAAATCAGAGGAGTAAGGGAAGAAGTGCAATTTGTACTTAAGAGCTGGTCTGGACCAGTTCCTGAAAGCCAGTGATCTCACTGATCCCCAGTACAGTTTGTCTTTATAGTGATAAGACTGGAATTGTATTCATGTTTAACAAAATCATTTGAATCCACAATGATGTCCCTTTAGCAGTGAGAGAAACAAAGGGGAGAGAGAGTGGAAAAAACACCCTTAACTGAGTTACCAGAGAATATCAACAACTGTCCTATCTTCCTACCCCCCATAACACAGTCACCTTGTAAGATAGAAAGTCCATTAAGACAAAAATAGGGTATCCTTAGCGTGGGAAAACATTTAGCCAAGTTTTAATTTACTTTCAAATCAGCATTTAAACGATCACATCTTACATCACTTCCTTTTACGAGCCAGCAGTTAGACAATACACATCATTTACATGCATTTTTGGAAGGCTGCAACATAGATCAACAAAAGAAGCCTTCACTATGAATTAACTATTACAAGACTCCTAGAAAGTCACTCCAGCCTGCGTTGAGGCAATTAGGAGTATCACCCCTAATTCTCATCTTTCTGGTGCACTCCTGTTTTGCCTCCAAACTACTACAAATACATCTTTCTACCCAAGTCATTGCTGCCACAAGAGAATTACGATGTCTGTGAGATGCAACAGCACATTCACAATGGTTAAAGTGTCAGACGTCTTTAAAAACATATATACACAACAAAAGAGAAAGTGACTGAGCAAGCTAATGTAGTTCACTCTCAATAGCAAAATTACAAAGTTTTATGCCTCTATGAATGATCAGATGATAGAGATTTTAAAATTTCAAAAGTATTGAACAATTGCCTTTAGGTCACAGGTAACTTTTGCATTTAAAAAAAAAAAAAAAAACAGAAGGGAAGCAAACACCCAGTTAAAGACCTTATCTTGAGACAAATTCCAGGAGTGTTCTTATTTGGTGCAATCCAAACTTCACATTAAGTTTACTGCTGGATGTGAAAAACTAAAATCTAACCGCAGCAATGCTAAAAATGCTTCTCCCACTACTTGCAAAACATCAAACAAAGCCCTTAAGGCAGCCGATCACTCGGTGAGCCGGCTACAAGTCCCAGCTACACGGCGGCGGGAGCGGGCTGGCTCAGGAGGGACGGAGAGGGGCAGCACATCCGTGCGCCTCCCCATCCGCAGCACAGCCCGGCGGCGGGCCCGGAGAGCCCCGCTGGGGCCAGCAGCAGCCCCGGTGCGGCCAGCAGCAGCCCGGCCCGTGCCGGTGCGGGTCCCGGCCCTGCCCGGCGGGGCCCAGCGGCGCTGGCACGGGCGGGGGCGCGGCCCGGGGCTCCCCGCCCGCCGTGGGCACAGGCGCGGCCCGGGCCGGCCCGCACACGCCGCTCGGCTCCCGCCAGCTGATACCGGCCTACCCAAGGGAAATTTCTCCCTCCCAACTCCTGCACTGGCCGGGGACTCCTTAGAAGTGCCAGACCGACCGACCCAGGGGGTTCTGCGGCCGGTCCTTCCCGCCTCGGCTCGGAGGGAACGCTGCCGGCCGTACTTGGCAGCGTTTAACCCTTTGCTTTCTCTCTACGTGGTGCAACTTCCACGCCATCGCTCTCGGTTTTCGAACCAACTACGAAAAGGAAAACAACTCTCATTGCCCAGAATTTCCGAGCAGCAGTAGAGAAGCTCTGCTTGGTCCCAGGACGAATGAGCCAATCCCCGCTGCCCCTTCCCCTTTGCTGGGCAAAGGCTTCCGCAAAATACCCCTTTCTTTTACCTACCCAGGGCTGGGGAACCTCCTTCCCTCCACCAATTAATTCACCACTGTGTAACACACACGGGGCTTCTTCACACAAGAGAGGTGTAAGCAAGGTTTTGAAGATGAAAACCATAAAAACTCTACAGATTTCAGAATCATAGAACTGTTTGGGTTGGAAGTGTTTGAACCCCTTTGTCATAGACGAAACTTTCCACTAGACCAGGCTGCACAAAGCCCCATCCAGCCCAGCCTTGAACACCTACAGGGATGGTGCATCCACAAGTTCTCTGGGCAACTTGTTCCTGTGCCTCACCACCCTCACAGTAAAGGATTTCTTCCCAATACCTCATCTAAACCTACTCTCAGTTTAAAGCCATTACCCCAATTCAAGCATAGCAACATAAAACTTAGTATTTTTACCATTTCACCACCGAGGTCCCAGGCCCACAGTAACATTCCACCTAAGACAACCTATTTAACGCATAAAATGCGGGACTAACTCCACTTGCATTTAGGTGCCAAACATCCAAGGGCTGCCTTCACATTTCATACATGTATAAACATCTATACACCTACATATACCTAAATAAATAGCTAAGGTAGAACTAGCTACAGAAATATCGCTAGCCACATAGATGAGCTATTTCCAGCTAGCTCAGCTATGGCAAAGGAGGAGAAAAACAGGGCTGTTTTCTGCTTTTCAACAGGTTGGCACAGTCCCCTTGCCACCGCTGCTGGAAAGCTGACTCCCCGGCCAGGCAAGCGACCTTGGGCATCACCGGCGGGTGCATGAGCTAGACAAAGAGATAACGTCATGCCCTCCCCGCTCGCTCCGTGTCCTCCCCGCAGTGGCAGGTAGCCAGCCAATCCCGCTCCCGGGTGACATCATCGCTGATGCCTGCACACGGATGTGGAAGTACATCAAACTACATCTCCGAGCCCGGCTCCTCAAAAGCAACCAGCACCCCGCCTCCCCGCTCCCCTGAGATGCCAGGCCGCTTGGAAGGGAAATAAAACCATCCAGGAAGAGGGATTTCAAGAAGTGGTTGCCGGGTAGAAGGAAAGCGGAAGGCAACAAGCAAACAGAGCGTAAACACGTTTTCCCCTCGGTTATGCAGTTCCTATGAAAGCCCTCAAAACATACACGTACAGTCTCATCTTTGGGTGTCCCTAGAGCATTTTTCCTAGCAAAAAAAAAGTGGCCAAGAAAAGTTAAATACTATTGCAACAACTTTTTTTAATGTTTTTTTTTTTACATAACTTCATTAGTTTAAAAAGAAATATGTTTATTGCAGCAAGGAAGTTTTTTGGTTTGGTATTATTTGTTTACATACAGCTCTGTTAGGTGTCCACATTATCAGTGTATGTACACAAATGTGGGCAAATGCCTAGGAAGAAGCAGTGCCAACCCAAACTTAAACACCTGTCAATCCATTACTATCTAGCAGGCTCTACAGCAAGAAAGGAGACTGCCTGTTGCTCCCCATTATCACAGTGACACCGATGCCCTTAGACATCAGGTGTTCAACTCTTCTGAGACAATAAATGCATGTGCTCAGTTTCACTTCTAATGCTAACTACTCTGGGAGAGCTCTACCTTACTTAAAGAAAACGAAATTTAAAATTTCTATTGTCAAGACTGTTAAACTAAGGAGAACTTTGCTCATTAATTCGAAAGCATTAACAAGTACACTGAGAAACAATGCACTAAATTGCAACAATTAACAGGAGAGTTTCAAGTCACACATTCACACCCTATTAATTTTTTTTTTTAATAAGGGTTCAGATGATGCAAGCTCTGGGAGCAAATGATTACAGAAAAAAATTGTGTCGTTTCAAATGACAGAAAAAATTAAATTGTCGAGGTTGCGTCAAAGTGCAGCTTTTTACTCATCTTCCCCCTCTCCTATGGCCTTTTGAGCCACATTGTTTTTTCCAGCTTTATACCAACATCAGCAGCCCGGCTATTCCAGCTCAAGTCTTAAAAAGCAACTAATACACTGCGCAGGCAGACTAATTCTCCATCAGGAAAGCTGAGGTTCATGCCCTCAAAACAAACTGACATGTGTTTCATTTGCAGAAGAGGCACCAAAGCGCTTGATTTAGTTACTGGAGCTGCAAGCAGCAGTATCTTGCCATCAGGGAAACTCACCAATTACACTCCCTTGTTTATAAGCAAAAAGGAAAACAAAACAAAACAACAACAAAAAAGCAACCAAAAAACCAAACAAGCAGCTAAGCATCTTAATCTCTCTCTTTCCCTCTCCAAATGCATCTTGTACTTCTACAGTTTAAGGCCAGAGCCTCCAATCTTTAGCCAAGTATTAAGTCTGTGCGAATAATTAGTCATCCTGGTAGCTAGCACTCACTGCAAAGTCATGCAAGCTTAAGATTTGTTTGTTCCACTGACTGCACACTAAAGGGGAAAAAAAGAAAAAAAAGAAAGAAAGTAGGCTAGTTTCACACCCACATGGGCACTCTGATTTCTAGTTTTTAAAGTCACACACTTGTCAAACAGGTTATTCTGGGAATTCTGATTTTCACAAAATAAGCTTCTCTACTTAGGTCACTTATTATTGTCACTCTGCACCCCTTATCTCTGCACAGCCCATCAGATGCACTCGCCCCCAACTCCATAGCTTCAACACTCTGAAGGTTTTCCAACAAGGAAGCCGGGTGACAATTTTAATTAAGGCCAATGTCTTTGTCTAAAGTCACTGCAGCAGCAGCAACTTCCATAAGGATTTCCAGCAGCAAAGCTGAATAAGCCTATGGACGTGCTTGTATAACCCAGCCAGACTCTGACAGCGTCCACTTGGTTTGGTCGTTTCTCTGGAGGGAGCACAGAGAAGAATAAGGACAATAAAGGCGTATTTCATCATTACAGGACGGGTACTTGGGAGAGTAATTTGTAGCCATCTGAAAAAGCAGAAGCCGAGAGGCTGACAAACTTGACAAGGCCAGCAACAATGACAAGGGCAACACTTCTACCACCCCTCACTGCTCCGGGTGCCAGTGCGAATGGCTCGCCTTCAGCCGTGTGCTCAGCCCGGCGCAGGCAGCGGGTACCCTCTGCAAAATCGGCAACAATAAAAGGAGAAGAAATTCTGACACAAACCTTGTAGACTTGCCCGTACGTGCCATTGCCAACCACTTCCACCAGTTCAAAAATCCCAGCGGGGTCCTAAGGGGAGGAAGGGGCAGAGGGGGCGGGGGAGGAAAGGGGAGAAGAGAAGCGGGGTTACATTTTTGTTCAGGCGATGGCTGCTGGCAGAGCCTAGCCAGCGAACCCGGCTGCTGGCGGCGTGCAGCTGTTGCGCCCTGTTTTTCCACGCACATGCCAATACATGCAAACAAAGGAAAAGCAGCCCAGGGCCCGGTCCCCCCGCCCGCCCCCGCGGGAGGGCTCCCCCCATGCAGCCACGGCTCCCCGCGCCCCGGCACCGGCCCCGGGCCCGGCCGCTCCCACCCCACCGGCCCCGCAGCCCCGGCAAGGGGCGCGCCGGCCCCAGGGGGCCCCCGCCCCGGCCCCGGCACTCACCCGCAGGGAGGAAAGGTCGATATCCACCAGACTTTTTGCAGGAGAATCGTTCGCCATTTTCCCGTCTCTTCTTTTTTTTTCCTTTAATTTTTTTTTTCTTCTCTGTTAAATAATAGCGAGGCCGCTCCCCCCTCCCTGGAGCAGCTGTGAATTGCGAGGAGCTCCGCTCCTCTCCTCCCTTCCGCCCTTCCCTTCTTCACTCCAGCCCCGCCGGGTTGAAACTCTTCAGCATTGGGAGGGGTTGGCGGGGGGGATGATGGATAGATAGATGGATGGTGGGAGGAGGGGGGAAAGGGAGGTGAAGGAAGGGAAGGAGGAAGGAGAAGGGGTGCTGCGGTTCGTCCGTCCGTCCGTCCGTCTCCCCGCGCTGCGGTGCGGGGCTGGATCCCCCCGAGGATCCCGGTCGGTGGGTGAGCGGGTGAGTCGGTGGGTGCCCGCGCGTCCCCGGCGGCAGCGGGCTCACACCATGTCGCGGCGGCGGCGGCAGGAGCGGCGCCGGTGCCGGCAGCCTTTGGCAGCCTCACGATACGCCCCGCACCCGGGCATGGCACGGCACGGCTCGGCCCGGCCGGCGGCGCTCACGCCGGGAGCCGGCAGTGGCAGCCGCGGCCCCGCTCTCGCATGGGGGGGCGGCTCACGCCCAGCGCCGCGGCGGAGCCCCCGCCGCCTCCGAGCCCTTCCCGCGGCGCTGCCCTCGCATCAAACGGCGCCGGGCACCGGCGGGCAGGGGCTGCGCGTCCCGGCGGCGGCGGGGCAGGGGCGCGGGGCTGGAGCGGGGTGCTGCGAGCCAGACAAAGATAGCCGGGGAGGAGGAGGAGGAGGAGGAGGAGAAGGAGGAGGAGAAAATATACTGCGAGCGGAGAGAGAGAGAGAGAGAGAGAGAGAACAGCTCCCCCTTCCCTTCTCCAACAGGAAAAACCGGCGGAAACGCGCCCGCACCAGAGCACTGCTGGGTAAACTCGCGGGGAGAGAGAAAGAGAAGGGAGGGAGCGAACGAGCGCAGGCGGGGAGAGAACCGGCCGCGCAGCCTGCCCGCCCCGCCGCCCAACAATAGCCCCACGGGGCGGGGGCGACCCGGGGCGGCCCTTGCCCGCCGGGGAAGCGGCGCTGGGCCGGGCCGGCAGGAGCCCCACGCGGGTCCGCGGCAGGGCCGTGCGGCCGCCCCACCGCCGGCTGCAGTGACCGGCCCACTCTGCCCACGCTGCCGCTGCCCCAGGCGGGGACTGGGCCCTGCAGCCCCCGCCGCGCCGCTGCCGGACAGCGCGGTCAGTGAGGGTCAGTCACGGCTGGTGTTCACCGTGGGTGCGGATGTTTGCCCATCCCCGGTGAGATGATGAGCAAGATGTCACAGTTCTCCCCTGCCCCGAGACTCCAGACTCACAGGAAACAGGTTCGAGTCCCAAGATTTCTACAGAGACAGACTCAAATGCTGGCCCACGGAACCAGACCCATCTCTCATATTTTAACACATCATTTACTGTCAGAGCTGTCTCAGGCTTCCTTCCCACCCAGAAGAATCCTCCAGCAGAATTTGAATCGTGGAAAAATCTCATTAACCTCACTTGAGCAAGACATATCAGGCAGTTGCACACAGGTGTAAACCTTGGCAGGATTTGTTTCTCATTGAAGTTCTTTATCACACTGATACGGCAAAAATGTTACCTGCTTGCAAGAGGTCGAGTTATGTTTCCTGTGGGAACCAGGGTTTTCCTCTCTCTTCTAATTTAACCACAAAATTACATATACATAGCTGTAAGTATCACAGAAACATACTTTTGAAACAAAGCAAACCTGTTGAGCAGAAAGTGTAAGGATAAATTACCATAACAGTTTAATGGCATACTTCATTTTCACTTTAAGTGTAGATACAAAGAAAGGAAACTCCAGCCTAGACCAGGAAACTTTTTTCTCTGAACAGGAACCTGTAGTCAGGAAAAGGCAAATAATTTCAAATGGATCCGGTGCTATGTCTGCCTGAGTGCATGCACAGGAGTAAGGTCAAGTCTAGAGATGCAGTAGGTTTTGGAAAGTGGATTTCCATAAAGATTTATTATCATCAGCCTGGTTTGCATTGCATGGCTTATTTAACTCAGCCTTTTCATGTGCAAGAGAAGCCTTGGTAGGTCAGATCCGTTGCCCATCTGTCCCAGCATCCATCTCCAGATGCAGCCAGCAGTTAATGCTGAGAGAAGATCACAGGGATACTTTAACTATCTAGTAATACTTCCCTGGCTTATCTTACCATCTCTCTACAGCTCAGAGAGTTCTTTAGCAGCATTTGTTGCACTGCATTTCATTTTTTTTTAATTATGTTTTCCTTCCATTAGATTGCCTGTTTACTTTGTGGGTTCATACATGCTTCTGGCTCTTATTGTGTCTTCTGGCAGGGAGTTCCAAAGCTGAGCTAGCATGTTATCTGGAGACCACCTTTGCATAGGTGAAGAAAAAAAAAACAACCCTGCTGGTTCTTGTTGTGGAAGAGACATCAATGATTTTCTATTCATTTTCTTCACTATATACATTTTTAGAGACTTCTGGTGTGTTTTCCCGTCAGTTTTTGCCAGCTAGCAAATTCTGGTCTTTTTAGCGATACCATGAATGTAACTCATTCCATATTTGCCCTTCATTGAACCATTTCTGCTTCTAATGCCTTCCTTTTTAAGATGGGTAAAAGGATTTCCATATCATGTTCATGCTGGGTTCCCCATGCAGTGTCACAGTGATGTCCTCATTTCTAGTCCCCTCCTGATCCTTCCTTTCTTCACTGTTGTTGAGCATGAATATGACATTTCTGTGGAACATGTCTGTTATAACTCCAGAATCTCCTTCTGTAATGTTAATACTACCTCAGAGAGTGTTGCTATGTTTTTCTGAATGCTGAAAGATTTTCAAGCCCAAACTCTGAACTGAGAGTTTTCCAAACCCGGTATGTAACAACTTTCTTGTGCCTCTGAAAAGTACAGCCCAGTTTTTTAGAGATGAGGATCTGAGCCCAAATACATATTTTCACCATTCACTTTTTAACTAACACACATCATTTCACCAGACCTCTGATGTGGCTCCACCACAGTGTCCCCTCTCTGCTTTGAACTTTTGTTTTATTCCAGTGAGTTCAGTTCTTTGGTGTGTTTTCTAAAGACTGCTAAAATGCTAAAGTGCTATCAACAAGATTGTGAATTCTTGAAAAGTAAGGCATCCCCTAAATTGAGGGGAAAATAGTTTTCATAAAGTAGTAAATGCCACAAGAGAGCTTCCTGCTAGTTCCCAGGGTGATGCACCATGATGCCTCACCTTCCTTTTCCTTCCTACTCAAGTGGAGGGATGAAAGGCTTGCTTTCTTGAGGAAGAAGCCTCTTTGGCTGTGGCCAAAACCACTCTGTTCACATGTTCATCATGCTCCTTACCAGCTCAGTGTACTTACCCCGTGTGAAAGTGTAAAGGTTAAAAAACCAAACCTAAAAGCACTGGAAAGGAGATGAGTCGCCTGTTTTAACTCTTCCTCATAGTGAAACCAGCAAGCCTGAAGGAGATGGAGTGAGACAGATATCAAAAATCATAACGAAGACTAAATGCAAGGAAAGGCATTTTCACTCCTGTGGATCATCACTCCACAGAGCACACATGGTGTTTCTAATCACAAACTTGAATAGAAGCATCAAAAAATCTGAGTCCGCTCCATCCATTTGGGAATAAAGCAGGAAAAATCTGGGGCATGGATGCTGCTTTCCATCACCTTCAGACACAGTTGCACCCATTTCTGCTCACTGTGCTGATAGTAGTGAAGGCAATAGAGGAGCTGGAGCTCCCTGAGCAGTTTCAGCATCCCTGAAAGAGGGATCCTAAGCCTCCCTTTCTCTGGCCCTTTATTCCTATTGAATGGCATCTCATCCCTTGTGTGTTATGAGCATTCCTACAGCTGTATAGTGAGTCAGGACTCAGCAAATCTAGCCCACAGAAGGAAAATAACTTTTAATGTTACCCTGGACTGGTTCATCACATGCCTCCTTGAGCAGTTGTGTTAACAAAAGGGAAGCGAAGGGGTCAGAGATTGAGTGGAGGGCAGGAAGTGTAACCATAGCATTGCCTCTTGGTTGTGGCTGTGGCTTAAGCCAATTTCAACTCTCAGTGGACCCATAGGGGTAAAACTAGAGAAACTTCCTTCCTTACTGGAAGAGATACCGTGGGAGTAATGGGAACCCAACATTTATGTTGTAGCCACAAAAGAAATTCCTTGCCCTCTATTTTTTTTCAAGTTCTTTGAAATTGTCTTTGTTCTATAATTTTCCGCTTTTAATGTGCTGGGGCCGTAATCACTGACCAGAGATGCAGAGGTCATCAACTGCACTAACTTTTTATGAGTTTAATCATCAACAGTATTCAAGGAGATGAGTAAAGAAGCTCTGAATTTTCATTTTATTCTACTACTGATTCATCCCATAGCCTTGGGGCATCTCATTTCCTGCTTCCACTCCCGTTCTCTATGTGGAAAATGGGAGTGATTTTGACCTCCTTTATAGCGTGAAGTGTTAGACATGTGCCCTGTCATACTCTAGGTTCTTTCCTTGGCTGAAAAAATACCAGAGGGAGGCTCAAGCTAGGGTGATAAGTAACAGAGGACAAGGTAGTGAGTGGGGCTGAGTAAGGCTTTGCATAGTCCAGCTCTCCTGCTGCAAGTGGGATCCCAAGAGCAGAGGGAGGCTGGGAAACTGTTCTCCTCATGCTATTTATTACAACACATACTGGGAGCAGATCAGTTACAGAAGGATGCCACACAATCAGCCTCCCTCCAGCTTAGGCTCCTTCCTGCTCTGCTGTTTCCACCACCCCTATCTCACACATCCATGTGAGAGAGAGCTGCTCTGCGTGATCGCTGCTGGCACACCCAGGTTCTTTCATGCTGCATCTTAATGTCATATGGTTGGACATGTTCGTGCAGCTCTGCTTGCCCAGTTGTACACACTGCTGCTGGTGACATCCTGCTGCTTCCTGCTCCTCAGGATACTGCACTGCCTCCCAGACAGATCGGTTTCCCTCATTCCAGCATGCAGCCAAGGCTCGGGCTCGAAGCTGGACCCAAGCTTGAGGACACACATGTAGATGTTGATGTAGGTGACACGAAGTTGCACAGGGCCAAAAAGGAGCAGCATTCTCCAGCTGTACTCTTTGAGGCCCTCACTGCCCACACCCTGGCTGGCTTCCTCTGTCAGCATTTTGGGGACTGGATTGAAAGGACTCCTGAAGCACAGGGGCTGTCTAAATATAGCAATCCTGCTAGTGCAGGAAGAGTGGCAAAGTGAGTCAGAGCCCTTTCCACAGCTGCTCAGGACCATGCGGGAAGGCACACTACAGTCAGCGCTG